GCATCAGCTAGCAGGCTCCCTGCAATGTAAATTGTGGTTTCTAGTTTCAGCTAGATGTAGGCAAATGCCAGCTCCTTCCCGTCTACTGCTTTTGGATTACTGATGCTCAGAGCTCCCCTGCCGCCAGTCTAGCGCTTCCTCAAGATCCATCCAGCTCCTCTCACTAGCAGCACAGGCAGTGAAAGGAGAAAATGCCTGGCAGGACTTGCGGCAGGACAGCCGCCCCGGTGCACCACGCTGGCGTGCAGCGGGAGCAGCAGCTGCCGCTCACTAGGCTACGTGCTAGTAGGACATGGTTTACAGAAGCTAGCAGTGCGTACACCATGGCGTGGGACACCCTGGGATAGGAAGCCAAGAGGAATGCTGTATTTAGCTCAGGTTTCAGGGATTCCCTGAGATGCATTAGGTAAGGGAACCCATTCCCCTTCTCCAATAAAAAGCTTTTCTCAGAAATGCTCCACAGCTGCAAACCTTCTTTCACTTGTGAGAACTGGTGTAACCACTGCCTAGAATAATAGGACTGTTCCCTTTTGATTTCTTAATAATAATTCTGGAAATCTGTAGCTGAAGCTTTCTGCTATTTCACACAATTCTTGATCCCAACTCCTACATTTTGGCCAATCACTGTCGTTTTATCTTTTAACTACTGAAACCAGCAGTGAATATACTAGCTATGACAGGCAGCAGGTTTTTAAGTACCCACAAATTTCTTAGCAATAAGAAATGGTGACCAAGGGACCAGAATACATGTTTCAAAAGCAATAAAGGCACACACAAGTATATCTCACAGAACTACTACTGACCTCGAGCAGTGTTAGTACTTGCCGAATTTTCCTCGGCTGCTGCGGGGCATCAGTGTTCAACATCCCTGTACAGGCAGAGCCCTAAAATTAAGTCTATTTAATTTTCTACTAATATTTCTTCCTCTATTAATTCCCTTATAAAGTATTATTACTGCAGAAAGAGGAGCAATTTAAGACTTAAAAGAAGAAAAAAAAAAACACTCCCTAGTTTCAGTTAACTCTTTGCAACTAAATTTACTTCAAAAAAATGTCCTCTGTGGTATTCCTACTATCCTACCATCATCAGTGTGCTTCCACAGAGGAAACAGAACAAAACTTTGCAAGTAATTCTGCTAGTGATTGCAGAAAGGAGAGAATCTAGTCCATCTTCCTGAACAGTGTCAGCCCTGCAGGAGAAGCTGAAATAAAAAGCAGCAAGTTCTCATTCGTTGACATCAAGACCTACAGATATGACAGGTTCCTGGTTATATTCAATTTGCTGATTTAAAAAAAAAAAAAAAGTTCATTTCAGAGTGAAAGAGCTCTTTAAAGTTGGTTTTATCTCTCAGGCACTCCATGATCTCCCAGCGAACCAAAACTCGATTTCCCTCAAAAGTTATCCACAGGTACACAAACTTTAAGTTTTTAACAAACTGATGCAAGCATTTATGTGCATTCCCCTTTCACATCCTGCAGCCTCTCAAAGCAGTCCCTCATCTTTTTCCTTGAGTCATAATTTTTCAGTTTATGCAATGAGTTCCACACTGAAATTTCATATGGCTTTTACCAACTGACTTTCCCGTTCAATACGTCCCTAAAATCCACCCCACAGTTACCTCCGTGGCTGCACCTCTGGACTCCGAATACCGCACCGCCATCAAGGTTAAGCCCTCGTTCTGCCCCTTTCCTAGGGCACTTCCAGTGCTACTGATCCCACTTTCAAACTTTAGTTTTTATTCTTTAGTTTTTATTACCCTGTGCATCCACTATGCCTGATGGGCTAAACAGTGAGGGCCTTCCCTTCCCTTCAGTCCTTCCCTTCAGGAAGCACTGTGTGACCAGACCATCTGCTCCAACTGAAAATACTGCTCATCTTAACAGTAGGAGTTCCTTTCATTCCTTGCCTATGAAAGGAAGAGCAAACAGATTTTAAACCAAGGCCACATGCACACCTGTCTTACCTAACCCCAGCTGCGCCATGATCGCGACCAAGCAAATCACACGTTGCACAAAGCCTCTGCCCTGCTCCTCCGGCCCCAAGCACCTCCTCCCTCAAGAGAGGGAGCTGAAAGATAAGGGAAATTCTCTCTTATCTCGTCTTTGGTACTTTCCTAAGTTCAGCTCATCAGAAATAGTTTTGTATTGATTTGGGGCGCTTGTAAAACGGCTCGAGTTAGAAGGCTCAAAGCTAACACCACTTAGGCACCCGTGTGAACATGTTTCCCTTTCTGTTTGTGTCCTGTAATGTTGTAAACCAAAATAGTTCTATAGTAACTGCATCGGTAATGCGAACCGCATACAGCATTCAAAAATTACAGACCAGGTTCGTCTCATCCCCTTGCTCTCAAAAATATTGGTTTGTCATTCTCTTCAATAATTACTTCCACCTCGGCTTTTTACCCAAATTAGGTGTTTTGTCTTCTCTTTTGTTGTACGATCAGGAGGTAAAGGCAGTTTCCCTGCATTTTGTTTTTAAGTGCCTCAAACGCTCAAATTAAAATATGCTTAGTAATGAAAACACTGATGACAAAAACACAATTCCAGAAGTGATGAAAACAGGCACAAAGTTTCTGCTCTCTCACAGCAGCTAAAGCTTGGCACAATGTTAAATAGTCACATGGCATATACAAGTAAACTGCAATTACAGGTAGGACAAAACATATGCCTTTTTAAAACATTTTATATTTTAAAGATCTCTGAAATAAACAACACATACATTTCCAGTATGATTTTAATGCATAGCATACTGGAAATAGCTAGAGAAAAACAAATGAAAGTGATATGACAGTCATTCAAAGGAAGAAGGAAGTAAAGTCCTGCACCTGGGAAGGAATAACCCCACGCACCAGCAAAAGCTGGCGGCCAACTGGTTGGAAAGCAGCTGTGCAGAGAAGGACCTGGGAGTCCTGGTAGACACCAAGTTGAACACGAGCCAGCAACGTGCCCTCACTGCAAAGCAGGCCAACCACATACTGGCTGTTTGAGGAAGAACGCGGCCAGCAGGTACAGGGGGGCGATTCTTCCCCTCTACTCGGCGCTGGTAAGGCCCCATCTGGAGATGGTGGGTCCAGGTATGGGCTTCCCAGTCAGAGAGACATGGGACCTGGTGGAGCGAGTCCAGCAAAGGGCCACTGACATTATTAAGAGATTGGAATATCTCTCATATGAGGAAAGGCTGGGAGAGCTGAGACCGTTTAGGTGGAGAAGAGAAGGCTCAGGGAGTATCTTATCAATGTTTATAAACACCTGATGGGTGGATGTAAAGAAGGATGGAGCCAGGCTCTTCTCAGTGGTGCCCAGTGACTGGACGAGAGGCAACAGGCACAAACCGGAACACAGGAAATTCTCTCTGAACATAAGAAAACACTTTCATTGTGAGGGTGGTCAGACACCAGAGCAGGTTGCCCACAGAGTCTGTGGGGTCTCCACCCTCGGAGATGTGCAAAACTTGGACACAGGCCTGAGCAACCTGTTCCAGTTGACCCTGCTCTGAGCAGGGGGTTAGACAACACAATCTCCAGAGGCCCCTTCCAACCTCAACCGTTCTGTGAATCTGTCTTCTTCTGCTTCATCACAGTATTCCAGTGGCTTCTTTAAATTCTCTTCCAGAGTAGGATTGCTCTGGGGTTTGTTTTCTTGAGAGAAAGGGAAGCGGCAATTGGGGGAAGTGGTAAAAAGATGCAACAAGAGGAGCAATTCTGTCCTGCTTTTAGAAGTGATTTGAGGAATGGTTCTTAATTTTTTTCAGAACAGAGTCTATATTTTTAACCTAGTGTGTCTATAAATTTTTTTCTTAGAGTTTTAACCCTTGAATTCATGGAATTAAGAGGACTAAGCCCTACTTGATGAAAAGAAGTAAACTTTTCACTTTTGTGGCTGCAAAGAACACATTCAAATTTTATCCCTAAATAGTCAGAGGAAGGAAAAAGTGAATTTTCATTTTAGAGATATATGAGTTTAGAGAAAACTATGATGGGGCAAGGGAATGTTTAATTAACAGCATTCACAATGAGAACAAATAAAAGGTGCTTTTAATATTTTTTAATCTGAAATTCTCCAGATTAGATCCACTAGATTTAGACACCATCTTAACTGCATATGCAAAACATATTCCACAAATAGTATACTATCGTGCAGTTCAGCTTTTCAGGTTGAGGAGCCGTCTGAAACAGGGGAAAAAAAAAAACTTGCTATGAATGATCACCTGAGGGAAAAAAAAAAACAACAAAACTTTGTTTGGAAGGCACAGAAGGAAAAAATAAACAGCTTGTCACTCAGAAACAGGAAAAACACTGAAGAGCCTGATGGCAGAAGTTTAACAGGCATCTCAAATCAGTTTGATTCCATGTCTTGTACTCTCCAGTAGATACATGTTCTGTCAAGGTCACCCTTCTCTTGGCTAGAGTATCAGCGGCATTTGCACCCTTACTCAAATAGTTTCCCTTCAAAAAAGTTTCAAAATAGTTTCTTCATTTGGATCTCTGCATTCAATTGTATAGTATTTTTCCTGTAACAAGGGAAAAAAGGAGAGACTATGTATCCGGGTACCAAGTTCTTTTGCCTCCCAATATAGTGTGGAAGAAAAAAAAAATCTTCAACATGGGTGCTGACTGGCTGGAGCCTGCTTAACCTAATGAGCTTAAAATCTTATTTGTAGTGGACATCTGTCAAGACAGAAACGAGGTACGCAAGTCCTCTTAATCCATTAGCTCTAAATTCATCAGAGCTTTCACACTCCTTTTTTGAATCAAAGAAGAAAATCCGAGTGGAAACAATACAACAGGATAGTGCACATCATCAAGACCAGATCTTGGGCAGTAGGCGTATGAGATTCCAAGTAAACAACGCCAACTAGCAATAAAACTGGGATTGCGATGAAAACTTGTGAGAAAAAGGCCGGTCTGGAGTTCAGGATGAAACAGTGAGTTTGAATCTTTGTTGTATTTTCCTTGGTCGTTTGGATATTTAATCAAAAATAAAGCCAAAGAGGAAGAAAAGATGGGCTGCACACCATCTCGCAGCGAGATTGCTAACAGTATCGCAAGAAGTGGTCTTAAGGCTTTCAATAAACCCAGAGGTATTTTGCATGTTGATCCAGGAGATAAAGGAATTCCATTGCTAGTGAAAGGTTCATCTTGTTACACTATTGATGAGTTTGGCCAGTATGGGATTCCAAGGAAAGACTGCCTGAGAGAAAATGAGGAGAAAATATCGGAGCAAGACAAAAACGATAATTTCCAATTATCTTCCAAGGCTCATTCAGATCCCCAGATTGCCAGGGAAGAAAAGAAAATTGACAGGACAGCCAGAGATGCTGAAGTAGCTATGTCTGAGCTCATTGAGTCTCAAAAACATATCACTGAGGACATACAGATCAGAAAGCAAAGCTCCTGTGAATCAGAAGCATCAGCTTTCATTTGGGATGACAAGAATGAAAGCAAAGGAAAGAAAATCCCAAAGAAAGGAAAAAAGCAAAAAAGTCATAAACTAGCAAAGCAAGGTCGACCTTGCAAAATTAAAGAAAAGTCCATTTTGCCCCCAAAAGAGACGGAAAAAAAGGTAGATTTCCCAGAACTGCTTGTTAAGGCTCATCAGAGTGCTTATGCCTACTTAAATCCCAACCTCTCCAAATTTGAAGCTATTCTTCATATGGCCAGCCAGGCTACGCAAACTCAGCTCTTCTTGCAGCAGATGGTAAGCTTCCTGGTGCTTCGCTTTGATGAAATCAACCAGCTCTTGGAAGAAATTGCCAATGATGGGGAAAATCTTCTCAAAGACGTAGGTGGGAATCTGGCATGGCCAGCAAAAAAAGATTTGAGGGAGCACCCTGATCTGTTGCAACAATTACTGCAGTACACAGTCAATAAAATGCAGTTACTAAATGGAACGGTGGCTTCCCTCACCTCCAACGTCCTGCAGGAGACATGCAGCTACCTGCAGTCTGCTGCAGGCAACTTGGAAGGAAAACTGAAAGCAAAGCAAAGTTTTGATGAGCGCCTGCTACGGACAATAAGCCTGCTCGAAGCCTCTACAGTGGGATCCTCTCCGTCCCACGGTGATGACAGAACACTCTACTCTGAGGACAGTGGCATTGGAGCGGACAGTGAATCTATCAAAGATTTCAGTGCTCTCGGTCAGCTTGGAAGACAAGCAAGCTGTGATTCCTGTGCACATGGCCATCTATCCCAAAAGCACACCGGAACTGTTGAGCGCACGCGCAATGGGACTGCACCACCAGGCACAGTCACATCCCATGACTGTGCGCTTGAAAGGCATTTTAAAGATATGTTTTACTCATCTGTTCAGAGTCAAGAAGTGGCTTCTTGTCAGGGTGGAGTACCAGAAGATATTTCTGCCGTGCCCCAGCATGCAAGCCTGAGCAAAAGCCATTCTTACAACTCCTTCCAGTCTGATTCTACTCAGGAAGGTGAACATTTCAAAATCTGTGAATCCACAGATTTTCCTTCTGATGATGATGAAGGGAGCACCCTGGGGGAGGATGACGACAACACAAGCTTATCAGAAATGGGGAAGGATACCCTGCCGAGAAGGCCTCTGTCTTCACCTGCGCTAACTGATAACACGCAAAGGCAGTCCATCAAGAGGACGGAGAATGCAGAGACAGAGGAAATGATTCTGAAGATGAAAGATGCCATCAGTGAAAAAATCAAGTTTGTCCCAGCTAAATGCGGGCATAAAGAATGGCTAGAGGATGAGAGTGGAAGAGCAATCCTAAGAGCAAGGCCCAGCACAGCAACAGGTAGCCAGAAAACCTTAGTGAAACAACGACGGTCCAGGTCAGAGGAGTCCCTCAGAAGCCAGGCAGAGGACCCAACCCTTCTAGAGCTTCAAAGAACTCAGAAAGAGCTCAACAAAAGAATGGAAATGTTTTACAGAAACAAGGACACAGACAGCAATCAAGAGCCTCGGAAATCAAGAACAGCACCTTATTTACAGGACGAGCACGTTACATCCAGATCCTCTAGCAAACTGAAGGCTTGTCTCTCCAAAAATTTCAGCATTCTGCCTAACCAGGACAAAGTCCCTTTGTACACAGTTGATCAAAATCCTGCCAATCATCTGGAGGAAAGAAGAGGCAAGAAGCCTTCAAGATCTACTGCGTCCCCACGGGAGTCATCAGGCAGCAAAGATGACGAGCCTCCTGGAACACAAATCCTGAACAGCAGTAGCTGTGCCTCCCGCAAGTCTGTCAGAAAGCTTATTGAAACGTTCAGTCCTACTGATGACCTTGTAAAAGCCACACCTCTAAGATCTTTAGGACCAATAAAGTGCATCAGAAAATTTGGACTTCCAGTTATTCCACCCACCCTTCCCTTTCAGAAGGGCCTGGCACCTTTAAATCTTAAACATCGTATTTCACCAGTAGAAGACATAAACCTTCAAAACGCCAATGCAGTTTGTTCAAACTTTCCAAATGCCTTTCCTCCTGTACCACCTGCAGAATTAAGTTCAAAGGACACAAAGGAGACTGATGAAGACATTGAAAATCTGCCACCACCACCTCCTGAAATGTTAATGGACACTTCCTTTGGCTTCTCTGAGTCTGAAGAAACTGCAAGAATAGAAGGGAACTCTTCAGAAGATGCCAAAAAGCCTGCCAAAACAGAACTTCACGCTAGTAAGAGAGCACACGTTTCCCCAAAAATCAAAGCCTCTCTCCAGTCCATTGACTTATTACCAAGTAAAAATATCAACAACCCCAATGCGATTGCTAATAAAGCTGTAAGGAATATTGGAGCGGATGAGAAACTTCGGAAATACTCTCTGGAGCTGAATCCTACGAACGTGCACATCCCTAGCCAAGAAGAGATCCTGGCAACCCAGAGAAAAGAGGCTGCAGATTTGTATAAGCAAACCCATAAAATTATTCCTCTTCAAAATCCCAGTGGTGTTTCAAAAACATACGGTAATAGCTCAGAGAGTAACGAGCCCAGTTCACTTGCAGCTTCAATGCAATACCAGAAGCACAGTTCTCCCGATTCACTGAGGAAAAATGAAAAAAGCTCAACTTTTGTCAGGAGAGTCTCCCCAACAAGAACTCCTCCTTCTTCTCCACCAACTGAGAAACGGCTTTTCAGTCCACCTGCACATCACAGACATGCTCTGCAGGCGTTTAACAACTCGCAGCCAAGCTCGCCTACCATGCAGAGGAAACCTAGTCCTCCAGCTAGCCCCCGGGTGCCCAGCCCTCCAATACAGAAGAAGCTGCCCTCCCCACCAGCCCCACGGAAACTGCTCAGCCCACCCACGGGGCACAGGCAAAGCTCGCCAGCTCCGCACAGACTGCCGGGCCCCCCAGCCAGCCGCAGAGACGCAAGCCCGCCTCCGTTCCCAGCCGCTCCCTCCCCACCAACCTCTCCGTCTCAGTCGTATAAGGGACCTAAAGCCAGTTCGGATACTGGGGATGAGCAGCAACCCTTCTCCTCCAAGAGGGGCAGCAATGTTCATTCAATATTCTGCCCAGTGACTTCCTCCTTATTTGAAGCCAGACCTCCGCTGCCACTCAGCAAACCCACAGCAGAGGTCACGAGCCAGCCAGAAGCTCCCCCGTTTCCCCAGAGGAGCAGCGTGCTTCTCAGGCAGCCTGGAGACCGGCCCAGAAAGCTGTCCCAGAGCGCTGCCAATCCTCAGCCTTTTGTGAAGAGAAGTTTCTCCGACCGCCGGCCAGGGGTCCAGTTTCGTCTTCCAGCTCCAGTGTCAGCTGGCAGCGAACCTGCGCTTAACCAGGCAAGGTAAGAGATACGTCCACCTTAGGCCAAAAAAGCAGGGATATAGCACTATGTTGGCTTTCCAAGTTTCTGGTGGGAACTTACTGTAGTTAAGATACTCCCGGGAAAGGGGCCACGCACAGAACAGATGTCCAGGCAGACACCTATACAGCATTACCTTGCCCCAGATTTCAGTTGACGGTCAGAACGAAGGAAAAAGTTTGCTTTCTACAGCTTGTTCAAGCCTTACGCTGCCTGCTGTGACGGGCACCCCAGGGGGAATTCAGTGTCCACTTTGTGGCACACAGCTCCCCAGCTTGGCGGGGGGATAAAGACATCCACGTTCGATTCTTATAAGCTACGAAATAACCTTCAGATTATCAACATCTTCAAACAACCATGAAAAGGTAGGCTTGGGCTGAGAGAGAGGATATCGTTCCTAACATCAGCCTCTAAGCCAATAAAACATTCAGCTGAACTCTGTGTTAACATATTTCAAACAGCCAGCAAGAAGGACTGACAGGTAATATGTAGGCAAGGATCTGTATGGACATAATTATAGCCTGAAGCTTTGAGCTTGTCAGGTAGGTGTTCAGATCTAGGTCTTGATTTCAAATCTGATGGGTCTGCAGCCCAAGCCCAGTTTTCAAAGTGGAAAAGTCTCCCACGGCTACCAGAGATTTGTTGCTCTGAAAAAATCAGGTTAAGGAAATTTAAACATGAACATGCAAATTCCATGGACACAACAATCAGCGGCCATTTTCTGCAAAATCTGGGTGTACCTTAAATTTGTTCCACCACTTTGAAAAAAAAAAAATCACAAAAAAGGCCATGCAATGGAAGTGAGTATTTGGAAAGTACTCTGAGATCAGTGTAACGGCCAGCACGTACCAAGTGCTGTTATTCTAGTTTCTCACCATCTTAGTATGTTTTAAGTTCATTACGCTTTAAGCTACACAAGAGGATTAAGACCCTGCTCATGTAACCTTTCCTCACATGAGCAGTATTTTCACTCTTGCTGGCAGAACAGTTGAAATCACATGAGTAGTACAGATGAGCAGGGATTGCAAGACCAACCCTAATGGGAAATAAAATTGCATTTGTAAATGCACAAATACACAATGCGTTATGAGTAGAGAAATGAACTTGTCTGCTAAAGTCAGGTGCCTAAGCATTCCTCTCCCAAAAACAAAATAAAGAACCAACTTTCCCACACTCACAGTAGAGGAATGTGCTGAACAAAACATGAGAAAGCCACTGGGAAACAGCAGCAGTTTTGCATTCTCAGTTCTAATATCGCATTATACTCTGACATTCAAAGATTCCCTAAAAAAAATCTACATTGCTACAAGGGTTTTCCATTCTTGTTACGTACTGGGTGAATTCAGCTTTGTCTACCTCAGGGTCTACTAGCAGAAAGAAATGTTTTCAAAAGAGGCTTTATATCAAACCTTGCAAGACAAAAGCCCTGGCAGTTTTATGGATCAATTTTAAAAACAGCCTATTATAAATTGTTAGTTAATTCACGCTTCAGTGCTGTGTATTATCTATGTATTGTAGTCTGTCACAGCATGAAGAGTAATATAAAAAAGCACTGTAAATAAAATCATCTTTTTCATGAAAAAAATTACATATCCAAGTGTTATTAAATATAGCATTTCTAGTCATTTTGGAGGAATGAAATATATACCGAGCCAAATTCATCTTCCCATTTATACAAATGGATGTCAAGAGTAGCCCTACTAAATTAGTCCAAATATATTGGTATAAGTAAATGAGAATTTATCCCATTAATTATCACATGCATTGATTTAAGACGTAATACACTATTGCTTCTTCGCTTAAATTTAAAATAAGCTGCTTGGAGTAAACTTTTACAGATCTTGCTTTGAAGATCCTAATACGAACAACATAGCAAATGTGCTGACAGGCACAGATGTGCTGTTTTAGGCGTCTGCATGTTGCGAAAACTGAGAGCCCTTGTCATCACTGCTGCTCATCTCCTCCTGCTGAGGACCAGCATGGTTGCCGCAGCTGTGAGCTCCACGCGCCACTGCACCCATGCTCTTACAGTGGATGTCACTGACAGAATAACAGACCAACCACCACACTCTGATCCATCTTGCTCCCTCAAGTTCATTAACCACACCAGGCCTCCTCGTAACAAACGTTTCAAGTTAAGGTTTCGGTGCTCCAGCCATTACAATTGATACGCTGAGCAACTTTGCTGGTTTCTGAGCTTGGTCACTGGTTGATAATAATCGACAGTTACTGGCATATTATCACGACATAACGTGTGCAATTGCTCTGCTTACCGAAACCCTTTTAATCTATAATAGGATTTCTGTGTATGTAGTCAAACAAAATATTATTTCATTGGTGCTGTTAATCTTCCAAGAGGTAGAGGAGAGATGAAAGACTAAATGCAACAGAGTTATTGTTCAAGGTGGGGGGACTGAGAAGGGATTTCGGCGAGTCGGGCCCAAAGCAAGTAGTGTAAGTGAGACCTTCTGCATTTGGGAACATTTGAATCTGGATTAGATTTTTATGACTGGTCACAAATCTCTTCATCCAGCCGTTCAGATCATTAAGGCCCCAGCAGTTAGAATACGAATATAACAGCTTGTTTATAGTCAAAAGGTAATTTAGTTTAAGGCAGTTTATGTACTGAAAATACAAAAATGATTCCCAAATAACTCTGAAATATTTCCTCCTGTTTAGTTTAAACTACTTTTATTGCTTCGTGTTGCCCGTAGAGTGAGATATTCCTGAATAGCTTTTCTGCTATGACCAGTCTTGGTTCCTCAAAAGCGTAGGCAAACCCTGTCGCTCTAGAGACATTCGTTCAAGTCCCTGTGTCCCTAGAGTTTGCCTGCGTGACCTTAGGAACACCATTTACCCTTTCTGTGCCTCAGTTCTCCTGTTTGCAAAGTGGCAGATTTATACCACCAGAATATGTACCCCATAGTCATGTTGGCATACACAGAAATTACAGTAAGCATGCTAAAAAACAAAAAAAAAATATACATAACAGAGGTAAGACCTTTCTTCCAGTGGAATTTGGATTTGGAACAAGACTTTTAGTTTAGACCCGTCTTTATCCACAGGTGAACTCACATTCATGCTGATCTCCTGTTAAACATTCAAAATATTTACTTCCCAAGAGAGTTTTGGGAGGGGACAGTACAATGCATTTGGCATCACAAAGGAGGGAATATAGAGAATAAAATCCAGACCACGTATAACGAAGTACATAGAAAGAGACAAGGAATTACACAGTACTTGTGCAGCATTTTGTGCTCAATGGGTTAACATGGTCTAATCGGCATTGTTTTAAAAAGTCACGATTCATTAGCCTCTTAACTTAAGCACCTTCCTTTCTGCAGCTTGGAGGAGAGCCCCAGAAAAGGAGGTGACGCCTGGAACAGCCCTAGCATTTCTGAAATGAAGGAGTCCAACAGGTCAGCCTCTCACCCTGAGCTCTACGTCGTGGGCCAGCGACTGCAGAGGGAGTGACACCAGAAGCACCTTGGAGGACAGAAAGCACAAGCAAGATCGGGGCCCTGGAGCAATGAAGCAGCCTTACTCAAGCCTCCAAATCATTGCATCAGACTTTACCAAAAGGAAACAATACAACTGCATCACATCTAGAAATCCAAACTGGCCCCAGACATCCTAGCGAATATCAGCAGGGTGGTAGCCAGCCGCTTCTCCTTTTGATTGTGTTTTATGATTTAACTCAGAGATTTACATTTAACCAAAGACGTACTTAGCAATTTGGCAGGTCTGAGGCAGATTGGTTCTACAAAGTCAGAGCCCGTAGCCAAATCCTTTGTTTCGCTGTTTAGCTAAAGGAGTTGTAAACTTTCAGAAATAATCATTATTTGACATGCTCTTTATTCATGAGATATCACAGTTTCTGATAAGTAAAAAGTGGTTGTTGTGATATTTCCCAGGGTGGGTAAAATCCTGGACCCACTGGATTCTATTACTAAAATATCAATGGCTCCAGCAAGGCCACAGCTTTATATTACCTATTTATGAACATGCAGAGAGAGAATAAGATGAAATGCAAGTTAAAAAGAAATCTTATTTTACAGGAATAAAATAACGATATTATTCTCACAAAAAGGCTTTGATCTTCTAAAGCTCCTTTGACTATCACGTAATCTCATCACCCCCTAATTCCCAGGGTGCAAGGTTTAATCCTGATTAGAGTCGTTTTGTAATAGCCCAATCCAAATACATGATAAATCCTAAGGCACCTAAGGACATGTCATGTTTGGTATGTTTTTGAAACAGAATGCTAGCATATAAGAGAATCCTATTCTCCTAGAAACAGGTTTATATTCTTTTTGATTTACGCAGTTGTAGGGGATTTATTGTAATTTCACTGAATAGTCTGGACAGGCCCTTGTTAAAAAAAAAAAGGGGGGGGGAGGGGAGAAGAAAAAGTTACTTACAATAAGCTAATGGTGGGAAGAGCCGTTTAAAAAAAAAAAAGGGGGGGGGGGAGGGGAGAAGAAAAAGTTACTTACAATAAGCTAATCCTAGGCTGTCACACCACTTGCTAAAACACAGTTTCAGAATATATTGGATCTTGCTCTAAGAACTTTATCATCACAATTAAAATGCATCTTTTTAATTAATACTAGACATATTTTCATAGGCAAATTCTGCACTGAACAAGATCCAGAAAGAGCCATACATATTCCTGTTTGCTAGGATTTTTTTCCATTCTTGTATATTGATTAGTGTAGTACCTGGGCATGTTACCTACACACAAAATTTTTAGCCTTCCTTCCCACTGTCATGATGGGGGAACTGAGGCTTGTCTTATGCTGGACAAGGGACCTCTTCGGGTACCGTACTCCAAGTCTTAATCTACTGCCTTAATCACAACCATCCTTCTTCAATGCGCTCAGTGCCATTTTGTGCCACAGAAACAGAGAAACCTTAATCATGATATTTAAGGGAGTATTGAATATAAAGAAGTAAATTGCAGAAAACAGGTGTTTCAGATCACCAAGGGCTTGTGAGCTTGAAGTGACAAAGTAGCTATTCCCCTAGCATACAGCTAGGAGACCTCAGCACATCCACATTATAATCACACACAGATGTACCACCCCCTGCTAAACTGGGAAATCATCAGGGAGACACAGCAGAGATCATTAGCAGAGCAAACTCTGCAGCCCACTCTTTGCCCCTCATCAGTAGTGTAGCTCTCTCCTAACGCCATAAAAATACGAATGCATTTTGCATGCATCTGGGGTTTGTCAGTTCTTCTGGCAGCCACCACCCAGATACGTGACAGCAGAAAACCGGCACTTTGCATGCATTAACGTAGCTTTGAAGATGAAAACGTAACACAGTGGGAGGACAACTTCTGCTTAGCTGCTACTACAGTCATTTTCTCTCTTTATGGTTTTATGCTGAAATTTCCCAGCATCCAAGATGGGTGATAACAGAGAGTGTTTGTTTACATTCCCCAACACCTAGTTCTTCTGTGATGCAAGAGCAGCACACGGAGCAACTCTTCACTGCAACAACCACGCTGGAAGCCTCATCACACACATGCTAGCTGGACATGGAGACGGCCAAAGCATCTCTCCCTGAAAACCAGGCTCCCTTGAAGACGTGGTGCATTGCGCTCACGGCCTAGCACAGTATCTTTCCCAGCTCTGACTAAGGCCACGATGTCAGGAAGTTCACTGGCAAACGTGCCTCCACCTAAACCCAGCAGTTTCTGAAGGGTTTTGATATTGCCATAAGGATGTTGAAGCAAATTAAGTATTATATTCGAGAAACGGATCTTCTCCAGGAGCGAGAATTTGCAAATTGCAAACAAATTTGCAGCATGGACTTACAACTACATATAGCTAACTCGATACAGTTAGTGTACAGGGCTCCTGCAAAAAAAGGCATTTGTCTTCAATTTGCATTGCAAGCAGGAGATTAAGAGTAACCATAGTATGTAGGCCAAGGAAATATCAGCTTGGGTACGCACTATTTTCTTCCCTTCCTCCCCCCTCCTTTCTTTTTTACACTGTTTTTTGTGGACAACACTTGCATTTTTCATGAATCCAACATGTCTGGAATCTGTTTCTTTTATAAGATGATACTCAGCTTGAAGACTTATTTTTTACTGATGTAAATAAATCAGAGTTTTTGTATGTCAGATTTGAATGCAATCTCTCTTACATTCTGTACACAATTGGCTTAAACTTTTAGCCCAATGTCATTTTGCCGATTGCTTACTTAGTGCGGTACCTAGTATCCTGTGCTATTACAAGGAGATTTGCTTCCTTCCTCCTCCACCCCCACCCCAAGCTAGTCTTGCTTTGTGTTTAAAAGGAATTAATGTAAAGGCGTTTCCAGTATGTTGCACTGCCATTAAGCAAATAAGTCCTTTTAGGCTACAAGATGCTGACTGGACACCGACAGATCAGAACAGGTCGGCCGCGCTACCGGTGCTCCCACGTACTGATTCAAGCACGAGCTCCCTGACAGTTTTATACTCTGCTCGGTAGAGGTTCTAGGTACAACTACAGCTAACTCGAGCACAGGGTAGTGGTTTTGTCCTCAGGGTTAAAACCAGAGCGCACTCAGCGCAGCAGAGTCTCATTGCAGAGGGGGTGAGTTCACAGTGATGCAGTATCAGTTTCACAGCCAAGACGGCACTGCTGTGAAAACAGCAGCTAACAGCACCACGTGGCACTTTATCTGCAGACCTGCAACAGGCTGGCAGCTGGCTTTCCTGCCAGTGACACTGCTCAAATCTTAAACCTTTAAGGGGCTTGTCATTTCACACTCGCAGCATCTAAGGATGACCGGTACCTGAAACCACTGTACACCCTCCAGTTGCTTCATTTGACTTCAAGAACTATCCCAGATATTAGCAATGCAATTGCGAATACAACGCAATTTATCAATAAAATCAGGAAATGACAGTGTTTGCACTTCTATACCTCTTAATACCCACCGCATTTCAGGATCATTTAGGAAGTCTTGTAATTAAGATGAATTTCCTTAGAAGTTATCCCTCTCCTAAAGGAAGGAAAGAGACCACAGCACAGAGAGGTGAAGTGGCTAGTCCCTAGTGTCATGTCTCATCAGTCAGGAGCTGCCAACACCTCCTGAAGAGAAATCTTTTTAGATTAACAAGTCTTCAATCCTTCCGCATCAGAGGCGCTCCATGCCATCGTGATTACAGTTAGCATAGATGCGTTTTGCAGGTATGAACTTCAAACTGAGATTTTGATCTTGCTGTGCAAGATACCGAAGGTTTCATAATGCTTGCAGTAGGGGTTAGGGGTTCACTTCCATGTTATCCTCAGGTAATCCTGAAGGTTAGCTACACAGATCCAGAACTGTATACTAGATCATCTGAAGATATGCGGCAAAGATCCCAAGTTTGCATTTCTTACTCGCTGGCATTTTGGATGAATAATTAAAGTAATAACGTCAAAAAAGACGTGCGGCTTTAGCCACCAAATAGACAACAAGGCTAGGTGATCCAGACACAGGACCAAAGTTGTCCTTCCACTCCCGTTTCTGTTCATCTCACATACGCCTGCCCTGCATCTAGCCTGTTTCACCATCACTGATAAAAAAAAAAAAAAGCGTTTGCAGCCTTCACCACCCGTAATTTCTCTCCACTTTACCAATGCTCTGAATTTCAAAATCTCTCTTCTTAGCTCTCCTCCTTTCCTATTCTTTTCCTGTACTAACATACAACTCTGACTGCATTCAGCAAGCCTGTGCGGATTTCTGGAGATAGCTTGCATGGAATACAGCCTTCATCAAGGTTATTTTAAAGGAGAAAGGGGTAATAAACCTATCTTCCCCCACAGCAATCCCTGCTTCTTTATTAAAGTTTTCCTTGAGGCATAGATAAATTGATTATGTAGCAATTAAAGAGAAACCAAAAACTTTCAGTATTATAAATACTGCCCTTCATTTATTATTACTACTACTGAACCATTGGGCCTGGAGAATATAAATGAACCAAAGCTGAAGCCTAAGGATGCTAACAAAAACCTGCTCTTCCCCAAGCAGGAACTATAAAGCTGCAAACAAAACTTTACAGACTTTTCGCCAGACAGACAGAGATGGGCATCAAGGCAGAGACCTGCTGCCGAGATAAAATCTAAACCAACATATTCACTAGCTGCAGGGTTTTTAAATGCAAGACTAAGTTGTTAATCTGAAAGAACAACTTTCATCTTGCGGTCTTACTCCCTACTAAACCCCGTATCAGTTTAATATCTGGTGTGTCCAAAATTAAAATCTGACAGTTCAGTACAATGACTTAAAAACACCTTTTCCTTCACTTTGAAGGTTCCTGTCTCTCTATTTGCAAAAATGGTTAACACAAAGATAATCATGACAGAGGGAAATGCATCTTTTTGGACTTCTTTGAATATTGAGATTTTTTAATCAATTCCCCAATATCCTTGCAGATCCTTTCATCTTTACATTTTTGAGAAAATATACACATATACGTAGATGCATGA